TAGTGTATGGTGTAGTGTAGTGTGTAGTGTATGGTGTAGTGTATGGTGTAGTGTATAGTGTAGTGTATAGTGTAGTGTATAGTGTAGTATACTAGTACAGCACTAATCGGTTGTGTGTTGGAGAGTAAACCTACTAAGATATTGGCAATTATAGTGTAGTGTGTGTAATGTAATATGTAGTGTATAGTGTAGTGTATAGTGGAGTGTATGGTGTAGTGTAGAGTGTAGTGTATAGTGTAGTGTATAATGTAGTGTAGATTGTAGTGTATAATGTAGTGTAGAGTGTAGTGTATGGTGTAGTGTATAGTGTAGTGTATAGTTGTAGTGTATGGTGTAGTGTATAGTGGTGTAGTGTATAGTGGAGTGTATGGTGTAGTGCATAGTGTAGTGTAAAGATCCCCAAGTAGCCTCTAGAAGGGCTGTAGGGGCAAGTGCTGTTACTAGCGAGTAGCAGCAGCATCAGCTAGCAGCAGCAGCATCAGCAGTAGCAGCAGTATCAGCTATCAGCAGCATCAGCTAGTAGCAGCAGCATCAGCTATCAGCAGTATCAGCTAGCAGCAGCAGCATCAGCTGGCAGCAGCATCAGCTATCAGTAGCATCAGCTATCAGCAGCAACATCAGCAGCATCAGCATTATCAGCTATCAGCAGTATCAGCTAGCAGCAGCAGCATCAGCTATCAGCAGCAGCATCAGCAGCATCAGCTGATGTCTGCACGTCGATTTCCATGAAACGCCGTCACGGACACGGCAGGGGAGGGGGGAGGGTCGGGGGGTGGGGGAGGGGTGGGGGAGGGGCAGGGGAGCGGGGGAATTCGTGACGTGTCGATAGTAAACCGAGACAATGTTTCCCCCTTTGTAATATCGTTGTGCCAGGCTAGGTGCACTTTACGGCCACGTAAAGTGTCGAACGCCCGCTGGCAGGAGGATATGGGACATAGCAAGGTGCCACGGGCCGACTGACCGAGATGACGCACGCTCAGGTATGCGCACACACACACACAAAGATCCCCCGTGTAGCCTTAACAGACTGTAGGGGCAAGTGCTGTTAGCGAGCAGCACCTATGAAGGCCGGCACGGCACACGAGGGGGTGGGTGGCCAGCACCACGCCCGACCGCCTTTGTCTCCCCAGTGGCGATGCTTACACACCGCACCAGGTACTCATTTGAGGCTGAGTCGACCTAGGGGAGGCCCAGGACCGGTTCAGATAATCGTCACTGGTGTTGGTCGTGAGCGGGAATCGAACCCGGGTCGTCAGGTTCATAGCGCAGCGCGCTAACTACTACACCACCGCTCCCCACACACACACACACACAGATACACACACATACAAGGGTACGCACGCAGACAGACACACGTGTACACACACGCGGACACACGTACACACACGGACACACGTGTGGACACACACGTGGACACTCGTCTACACACACACATGGACACAAGTGTTGGAGAGTAAACCTACTAAGACATTGACAACTATAATGTAGTGTATAGTGTAGTGTATGGTGTAGTGTATGGTGGAGTGTATAGTAGTATATGTTGTAGTGTATAGTGTAGTGTATGGTGTAGTGTAGAGTGTATGGTGTAGTGTATGGTGTAGTGTATAGTAGTGTATGGTGTAGTGTATAGTGTAGTATTTGGTGTAGTGTATAGTGTAGTGTATAGTAGTGTATAGTGCAGTGTATAGTGTAGTGTATAGTGTAGTGTATGGTGTAGTGTAGAGTGTAGTGTATAGTGTAGTGTATGGTGTAGTGTATGGTGTAGTGTATAGTAGTGTATGGTGTAGTGTATAGTGTAGTGTTTGGTGTAGTGTGTAGTGTATAGCAGTGTATAGTGCAGTGTATAGTGTAGTGTATGGTGTAGTGTATAGTGTAGTGTATAGTGTAGTGTATAGTGTAGTGTATAGTGTAGTGTATAGTGTAGTGTATAGTAGTGTATAGTGCAGTGTATAGTGTAGTGGATAGTGTAGTGTATGGTGTAGTGTATAGTGTAGTGTATAGTGTAGTGTATAGTGTAGTGTATAGTGTAGTGTATAGTGTAGTGTATAGTGCAGTGTATAGTGCAGTGTATAGTGTAGTGTATGGTGTAGTGTAAAGACCAAAAACAACAGACCCATTTACCTGAGGCGGTCCACGTGCAAACGGACAGGAATTGTGTCAAGGCCTCTTGATTGATGTAGGGAGGCCTCAAGGAGGATTGATCCGGGCCAGAGCATTGAAACTGATGTGGAGGACAACTTCAACGGTAAAAGGTGGAAAACGAGGGTGGACTGTCGGGGTTAAGGGTTGCCAACCGTTGGAGATGGGGCTGAGAGAATCTTCGAGAAAAGGGGGGGGGGGGGGGTGGGGCCTCGAGGGATGTTAAAGAGGGGAGAGCACGAGGTTGGGAAGGGGGCGGCTTTTGAGAAAGAAGACGAAGTTCGGGGCATCGAGAACCGAAGCCCCGGGCCTAGGGAACAGCGTTGGGTGCCTGCGGCGAAGTCCCCCTCGGCGAAGCGAGGCCGCCAGTCGCCGTCGCTACGCCTGTACAGGCCACGGGCCGAGAAGAATCCCAAGTTTGCGCGTGTCGCACGCCGGCACAGGACGAGGTCTCACCACCCACGCGCTTGTAAACCGTTCGCTGTGGGTCCGTGAGCACGCGCCGCTCACGCCCGCACGCGGCGCAGACCCTGACGAAGCTTCGGGCCAATGGGCAGCTGGAGGAGGGCTCCGTTACGGGAACGAACGGAGGAAGGGCCCATAGGCTCTTGTGCTGTGGGGCTGTATTCAAACGAAACTTGTGCAGAGCAGAGGGGCCACGTAAAAAAAGATCACTGCCGGAGGATGGCAAATGCCCAACCCAACAGCGAGGGTGACTGTGGAAAAGGTGACGAAGCAAAACACCCGACGGAAGACTCAAGAGGGAGCCGCTCACCACAGAGCTCACGCGAGATTGCAGTAGACCCCGCTCCAACTACGGCTACCGCCATGGAGAATGCCAGCCACCCAAGCTGTCATTGAAAGCTGGGCCTCTGAAGACAAAATGTATAGAAGATCCAGCATCATTATCTCCAGATTCTATTGGGGATGAGGTCGATTCGTTTAAAGATCTCTTATAGTTTGGGTCGGACATTGCACCCGCGCCTCGGGGGAGATACGGAGAGTGCTGGTGGCAAAGACGGGGATCACCGTCGTCCCTGATGCCCCTGTAGTTGTGACACGGGCAGGGAAGAAACCCCGTGCCAGAACCGAGATCAAGCACTGGACACCTGCAGAAAATCTCGAGCTTCAAATGGAAGCAGAGAAACTCGCGATGAATGAAAGGGGAACGTAAGTGAAGGGGGTCGCACTTCAGACCTGGATGCCGCACCCACTGGGGCAACTGTGGGTTCCCAAGAAACACCAACAGCCGAGGAGAGCACAGAAGAGACCAAACAGGGCCCGACTGATCAAACTGCGGAGGGTGACCAAGATGATGACAATGGATAAAGGGGCAAGCCGCATCACCCATCAAAGCACCGACAGAGGATACAACGACAACGGAAAATCCTCAAAGCCTCGGGGCTGAGGAGAGGAGCCAAGAAGAGGAGGCGGAATAAACACTCAGCGCAGTGGGGCGAGCCCCGGCATCTGCTGATCTGGCCCAAGGTGACGCCAATTTTCTCACAGGAGGAGATATGGAGCTTTTTTAAATGGAGTGCATTTCTCAGAAGAAAAGAGTAACCGCAGCTCTGTCAAGGTGGAACAACGTGGAGGTAATTATAGCCCTCGCTACTCCATATTGACCAGGGCTTCAAGAGACAGGGAAAGTCATCATTTGGAAGATCAGGTATTTCCTGACGCAAATAACTACGTGGAAAGACAACAGACCTGGCAACAACCCCACTGACACATAATGCTACGGATAGCCACAATTAATATAAATGGGTGTAGGGGTGCACTCAATAGACAATTTATGCTGTCTCTCACAAGAAAACACAAGGCCTGGGTGCGCTTTGTGCAGGACACACATCATGCAACCAGCGAGGAAGATGAATGGCAAACAGAATGGAAAGAGGATTTGTTGTTCAGTCGCCTTTCTCATACATCTTCAGGGGTGGAAACGTTATAACTCCAGGGTTTATACCCAACCATAGTTGATCAAGTTGATGTAAGTACCAGAGAGTGGCCCTCGACGTAACCATCAAACTCAATGACATTTCCATCCACCTCATTAACGTTTATGCACCCGTTTATGCACCCATCAACGACGAGTGCCTGACTATGAGAGAAGATTTTCAACTGCACGCTGGATATCCTCGACCGCAATGGCACGGAACAGTGCAAAAACGGTGTCCTGAACACCTTGCGGGAGGTGCTCCGCACGTACAGTCTGGCAGACGTGTGACGAACGCAACATCCAAAGCAGCAAGGTTTCACCTTTACAAGGACCTGAGCTGACAGGACAGCCTCGCAGTCAAAGATTGACCAATCCTATATCTCAAAAAGACCTTGAAAATATTGCAGCATCATCCAGTATTCGGGCTGCACCACTGGTGCATCATCAGCTAATACTCCTCCAAATGAAGATGCAAGGAGTCCCAAGGGGATCGGCATACTGGTATTTTAACAATGCCCTTTTAGAAGACACCTCCGTCACTAACCTCTTTGGGGTCTTCTGGGTGGAGTGGCAGGGAAAGAAATATCGTTTTTAATAACCGAGCACAATGGTGGGATATAGGGAAAGTACACATTAAAAAAAAAAAAACTGTCTGCCTGGGGAAACACAAAAAAAAACATTTACCAGAAAATGTGTGACCTTGACAGCAGATTCCATAACGTAGAGCAAAGGTGGAAGATTACGGACGATCCAGGCCTACTACAGGAATATGTGTAGACCTTGGAATGTCTAAAAGGTTTGCAGAAAAAAGAAGGGAAAACGGGAAATGTATTCGCTCTCGTTTTAAATACACCCTGGATATGGACTCAAGTATTAACAATGTTCTTTCCATACTCTTTGATTCTTTCGGTAAAAGTCACGTAGGTATAAAATAAAATAAATCACGACGTTTCGGGCACAACACAAGCGTCCATCATCAGGTGGGAAAGCATGATGGTCTGCTGCTGAGGCAGACTCTTTTAAAAGGTTTGAAATGGGTTTAAACCACCCACACGGATTCCTATCTAAACCCTGACTCCAACCACCATCCGGCCCAGAAGAACTCCCTCATCAAAACACTACACCATACGTAAGGCCCGCTGCATCTCTGACCAGCGCCACCTAGCCAGTGAACTGGAGCATGTACACCAAGCCCTCAAGATTAATGGATACTCAGACCGCACAATCCGCAAAGCTGGAGCCCCAACTATGGGGAGAAAACCATCTGAGGACCCAATCAAAACCATCACCTTGCCATACTTAGCAGGTGTTACCAAAACGATTTCCAAAATTTTAAACAAACACAAGATCCAGGTCCGATTCAATACAGTACACAAAATCCGTGATTTGATCCCATCTGCGAAGGATGTTATTCCTGACATGCAACACCCTGGTGTCTACAAACTAAGTTGTGTCTGCAGCAGCAGTTACATTGGGGAAACGAAACGACATGTCTCGGACCGTGTTCGCGAACACAAGGCAGATTTTAAACACGGCAGAACCAATACCTCTGCTGTGGCTGATCATTGTTATAACTTGCTGTGGTGCTTCCATTCTTCCCTGCCGTTAGGCTGTCATCTCCGACTCTCTGAGTTGCATTGCCCTGTTAGGTGCCTCTGCATTAACGAGCTGGGGTCTCACTAACATGGCCACCTCTGCTCCTTTAGCCTCGATGTATAGATGGTTCTGGCTGTGTGATGGGCTGTGTGTCTCACTGACGCGACCACCGTTGCGGTGGTTCCCTTGCGTAGACGCGTTTGCCTCACAGCGCAGATGGCAACGCCGCAGCTTGTGTTACACATAGACATGACATTAACTTACCCCTAATCTCCCTCATCAACATATCATCAACATATTGCTAAT